TCTGTCAACCTGAATGCCAGAGTGACAAATGAAACAAATTCTTAATGCCCTTCAATTCCCAATAGCCACAATGTCATTGAAAAAATTGTGGTAAAATTGTAGGATTAATTGTCAGTCTACTATGACTCACTCTGTTTTGGGTTAATGTAGACAGTGAGGCAGTAGCATATTTAGCAAAGGAGAGACTGCTCGCTACATTCTCAGATAATGGATTTTTCACCTTCACCAGGTGAAACAATTTTAAAGGATCTCAATTATAACAATCTGATGGAGAATCCATATTGTTTTTTGGCTTTAACTAGCAAATATGCTAATCAGATCAATAAAATAGTTAACATGAACTGAAAATGAACATTGCACCATATAGGTACACTACAATATATTTTCCTTATTCTCAGCTTAAAATCTTGTTTTATAAGAAAAGACAAGCCTTAATATTTTCTCCTTAGTCCAAGCAGATCTAAATTTATAAGAAATTTTTATTCTCTGTATTTAGTCATATAGTTGATTGTTGAGAATTCTGGGTACTACTGTTAGAAAGAATTGATAAAGAAGCCATTATCACAGCCTATTTAACCTACAATATGATTGAAATAGAAATTTTTCTCATACTTCAGGCTTAGTGTTATTGATTCTAGACAATAAGAATCAAACTAAATGTCATTGTACATAGAGAACGGTGACAGAGTAAGAAGAAACATGTGCCAGATATATAGATAGTATATTTGAAAAAAATATCATAATAAATCCCAAAGCTACAGAGATACAAAATTAAGGAAATCTGACTGACCCCAAATGCTCATGTCTAATCATGAATTGAAAATATTTATAAATAAAAGTATCTTATGAAGCTTGTAATTATGATATGAAGTGTTCCAGCATTGAAAAAAATGAAAATCACCTAAAATGATAAAATATACATGAAATATGCTTTTCTTATGCAGTATTTTCAATCTCCTCAAACTCTTTTTCTATACTATTTTCAAAACAAATCCTAAGAATCTTCTCAGATTTATGAAAAATATATTAAGTGCTATCCTTGGATACCAAACTATCCTTAATCATACTGTACCCAAGATGAGTTTCTCTGTTCTTCATTAATTAGCTATTAGCAACAAAAAGTCCCTCTTTACTGAAGCACTTCATTTATCCTATACAAATGAGGAATGAAAAATTAAGGCTAATATTTCTTGATAGTAAGTGCTGAGCTTTTTATTTTATTTTTGGCATTGCTGGAGTTTGAACTCAGGGTCTCATGCTTGCCAAGCAGATGGTCCATGCCTTGAGCCAGTCCACAGGCCCTGAACTTTTAAAATATTAATAATTTCTATTGACTTAATTAAAATTGCTGAAAATCTTCCTATAGTGTTTTAGGAATTAACTATGTTAGAGGTTATTATTTCTATAATTTAGCTTCATAAGTGTTAATATTCTATATGTGATCTATATTCTTTTTAATAAAACATCAACTACTTCAACATACAACATGAAAACTGAGTGAAAAAGTTTTTGATAAGTAGTTGATGTGTAAATATTGCAAATGAATTCACGAGAACAGTTTCAAATGCCTTACCTTTATTTCTCAACATAGTTCTTAGATAGTGGGTGCTTTTATTTCAATATTGAAAATGAGCAAAAATGTCACTCAGAAGTTAAAAGATTTACCCCAAATCACATGGCTAGTATATGGTGAGCCTAGAGTCAAACACCAGGTTTTTGGTTCTATAATCCTATGCTTTTAAGTACTGCATTTGCCTTTCTAGATAATGTGAGATAAAATATTTTCTATAAGCTATATAAAATTATGTAAAATTATATGAAAGGTTTAGAGTTAATTCTGTTACATGCTAGTTTTTATTAATATGTATCTTATTCTGTTTTCTGTTACCAAATCATAATAATACAGACCCAGTAAGTTGTCCAGAAGAAGAGTTTCATCTTGGCTTATGGTTCAGGTTGAAAGTCTAAGGACTGTATCTGATAAAGGCATTCTTGCTTGCAGGTCATCACCTGGGTTTTGTGTGTGTGTGTGTGTGTGTGTGTGTGTGTGTGTTCTCAAGTCTTTCTCTTTTCTCACAGAGTAACCAGTTAATCATGGAGGCTTCACCTTGAGGACCTGATCTAATCATACTCACCTCCCAAAGGCCTCTACACTGTAGTTGGATCAGATTTTCACCCTCTTAATACCGTACAAAGGGGATTAAACTTTAAGAGTTTCCACAGTGACAAATAAGTTCCAAATCATAGCTTATGCTCTCTTGAGAGTTTAGTGCTTGTGTTTAATTTTCCATATTTTACTGGCGAAATAATCAGGTATCACTTAGCTGTTCTTGTAAATGGCTTATTTTACTATTTTAATGTCTTCCCTAACATCTGTATTTGGAATGTCCTGTTCTTCTTCACATTTATTTTTCTTAATCTTTAAAAATATATTTAATACTAATATATGCCATCTAGGCTCTGGTGGCTCATACCTGTAATCCTAGTTCTTAAGGAGGTTGAGATCTGAGTATGGTGGTTCAAAGCTACTCTAGGAAGAAAAATCTGTGAAACTCTTATCTCTAGTTAACCAACAAAAAGCTGGAATTGGAGATGTGGCTCAAGTGGTAGAGTATCAGATTGAGTGAAAAAGCCAAGCAAGAGCTTAGTTCCTGAGTTCATGCCACAGTACAAGCACAAAAAAAAAAAAAGAAAAGAATAATGTATGTTACAACCTACTACCCTCCACAGATCTGGTAGATTTTAATGTTAGAGAACCTTGAAAGAATTTCTCCAATACTTTTTCTTAAAAACTGTTTTTTTTCTTTTAAATATTATTTTAGTATTGATTTTATTTCACTTTTTGTTTCGTTTTGTTTTTCTTGTTATTTATATGAGGGCCAGCACATGTCCATGTGAGAGTGTGGTGAGCAATGAGGGGTTAGGAAACAAGATATAGGATGATAAGGTGAAAGTCCAGCAAATGCTGAAGTGGAGGAAGTGCATTTTCACAATGCTGAAAAACTAAATGGCAAAATGGGAACATAAGTGTTGTTTACACAGATAGATGCCTTTGTAGGAGCATTGTAAGTTTATAGAAGAGATGCTATCCTACAGAATAGACGCCATTATATGCACAATGCTTCATTTTACATTATCCAGTGTCCTGACAGAGACTGTCTGAAAGTAGGTACAGAAAGTTCTAACAGAGACTACATGTCTGAAATGACTTTGTCCTTTCATCTAATGCTCTTCCCACTCAGATCACTCTGAAACTTTACACTGTTATTCATAGATTTCCCAAACCTATTCATACAAGTTGTATAGACCCCTCACCAGTCTTGTCTTCTCCGTGTTCCTTCTCATCTTATACTAAACTCTAGATCCAGAACCCTGACTGTCTTAGCTTCTGTGGATTGGAATAGCACATAAGGTCCTTCTTCTAGATTCTGGAGGTTGCTCTCCCTATTAATTCTCCAGATTTTCTTTACTAAATGAAGTTGCCTAGAACTATTTCTTGATACCTGATAATTCTCACTAAATCTTTGCCTAAGTAATGGGACACGTTTTATTTATATCTTTCAATATCAAAGCATACACAAAGGAACTCTAGTACTCAAGCCATCACTATAGACATCTCACTTTGTACAGATGGTTTAAGTTCCTATTCAATCTGCTTTCCTAAAACAAGGAAATAGCCAGGCGCCAATGACTCACACCTACAATCCTAGCTACTCAGAAGCCAGCTCAGGCAGGAAAGTCTGTGAGACTCTTATCTCCAATTAATCAAAGAAAAGGTTGGAAATGGCACTGTGGCTCAAATGGTAGAGTGCTAGCCTTGAGCAAAAGCAGCTCAGAGACAGTGCCCAGGCCCAGAATTTAAGCTCCAGTACTGGCAAAACAAAACAAAACAAAAATCCCAAACAAAAGGAAAAATTAAGATAATTCTGAGATTATTTTAACTATACAACTGAAACAAAAATCACTTAACTCATGCAAAAACAAGTCCTCCCTCAGACTCTGCAGAATTATACTGCAGTCAATCTAGTTAAAATATCACTGTAAAGAAGTGGAGTCATGAGCCAGGTGCCAATTGCTCACACCTGTAATCCTAGCTACTCAGGAGGCTGAGATCTGAGGATTGTGGTTCAAAGCCAGCCCGAGCAGGAAAGCCCCTGTGAGACTTTTATCTCCAATTGATCACAGAAAGAGTTGGAAGTGGCACTGTGGCTCAAGTGGTAGAGTGCTAGCCTTGAGCAAAAGGAGCTCAGGGTCAGCACCCAGGCCCAGAGTTCAAGCCCCAGAATCAGGGGGAAAAGAGTGGAGTTAGATTCCCTCAGTGTAAAGCACAGAGTACTAGCATAGTGATTTGAGAGTGTCTTACCACAAGAGGTTATCACCCTTATTTCTCAGAGAGTCTCTAGATGTGTGTATAAAACATACCCAGTCTTTTCATTGTGTTCACTTGTACTAGGGACAAAAGTACATACTACTCTCCCCCCACCCCAGCACAGATAAAGATTCTTTATGGTTTACTGGAATAAAAAACAAACAAACAGTGAACAAGAAGTTTAATTTATTACAATTTATTCTTATACTCTTGAATAATGGAAACATATTGTTGTCTATATTTTGTTATACTGAACAATGAATTAGCCAGGGTAAGAACTGATCATCTTTGACTACTTTTTCTCTATTTCACATTTTGACTGCATATTATTTTGCATTTCTATTCCAATGCTATGTTTCCTTGTTACAGATCACTAAATATGATAGAAGCTTTCTCAGTTTTTGTTGATAGTAAAATATGTGTTAATCCTAACAAAGAGTATCAAGTACGTAGCCGATCTATTACTACATGTAGATACCAATGCTAATTGAAAAGTCTTTTTGAGATTTAAAAACTTTCCACAAAAGATAAATCTATAAGTTGCTCATGTAGGACAGAAACAAAGATTGAATATGTATTGTGTTTCCTTAATTCACCACCTCTTCAAACGCAAGGTGAAGTGTCTCAGACTTTATTGTTGGTGGGGGAAGCTGTTGGAGCGTGCAAGAGCTAAGAAACTAGTAAGAAGTATAACTGCCAATCTTGTTTGGGATCGTTCTTCTTCATCTTTCAAAGCATCTTCATACCACGATGAAAAGGCACTAGGCGTGGTATTGTGGGTCATAGCCAGAAATTCAAGCACTCTCATCTTGCTTGTTTCAATATGAGCTCGAGGACCCCACAGGAACTGATAGCGTGGAGGATCACTATCGGGAACTTGCTGGTATTCTAAATATTTTTCCTGCACCAAATCTTCGGTGATGACCTTCTTGACATTTCCATAGGCAAAGTGATTTGTTTCATCGTGGATCCCCATCGCATTAAGCACCTTCCAGACATCCTCTTCGTTGGCACAATTTCCTTTCATGAAGATGACACACAGGATGGTCATCAAAAGGCCATTTCTCGGTATGATCTCACCACTCAGCCTTGCATCACAGATAGGATGTAATTTGCTGACAAGAATATAGTAATGCCTGATTGGATCCGATTCCTTCACATCAATTCCAAAAGCCAGCACCATCAGCTCTGAGGCTTTTTTGAGAATCTCATTGAAATGGGCCTTATCTTTTTTGATGACAAACCTGATCATATCTAACTTGGTTATAAGCTCTCCCATGTTATATTTGCGTATGATGAACTGTACCAGCAAAATAGCTTTCTGATCTATAATGGATACACCTGAACTATCAGTGTTGGGAAGTGCTTGGGAAGTGCTTGGCATTTCCTCAGCTAGGCTAGTGACACTTGCATCAAATTTGTGGCATAAAATACATGCAGAAGGATCTGTGGTAGGTTTGGCCTGCTCAGGCTGCTGGGATTTGTTACATGCTTCAGCAGCAGCAGCAGCAGCAGGAGCAGCAGCAGCAGCAGCAGCAGGAGGGGCAGCAGCAGCAGCAGGAGCAGCAGCAGCAGCAGCAGCAGGAGGAGGAGGAGCAGCAGCAGCAGCAGGAGGAGGAGCAGCAGCAGCAGCAGCAGGAGGAGGAGCAGCAGCAGCAGCAGGAGGAGGAGCAGCAGCAGAAGAAGGAGGAGCAGCAGCAGAAGGAGCAGCAGCAGCAGGAGTAGCAGTAGGAGCAGCAGTAGGAGCAGCAGGAGCAGCAGCTCTAGCTCCAGATCCACCTCCACCTCTATTAAGAGAGGAGGAAGAGGAGGTCTCTTCCTCTTCTGCTGCAGTAGGGGCCTGTTCACCTCGAGATTCACTTTTAGCCTTGTTGCGTTTCTCACGAGCACGCAGCTTACTTTTTTGACCACGAGGCATGATGATTCTGGTCTGTACTGGTGCACACCTAGAGGAGGGAGAATGGTATGGTGTTTGTATCTTCAGAGAGAGACTACCTTGTTTTTGGTTGGTTGTTTTTCTTTTCTTTTCTTTCTTTTTTTGTTTTGTTTTGTTTTTGTTTTTGGTGCCAGTCCTAGGTTTTGAACTCAGTGCCTGATCACTGTCCCTGAGCTTTTGTACTCAAAGCTAGTACACTACAACTTGAGCCAACGTGAGCCACACAGCTCACTTCTAGTTGTTGTTTAATTTTTTCGGGTGTTAATTGAGGAGTCTCACAGACTTTCCTGCCTGGGCTGGCTTCAAACTACGATTTCAGATCTCAGACTCCTGAGTAGCTAGGACTATAGGCATGAGCTACAGGTGCCTTCAAAAAAGAATCTTGCTTTAAAATTTTTTTTATTGTTATTATAAGAGTGATGCAGAGAGGGGTTACAGTTACATAAGTCCGGTATTGAACACATTTCTTTTTGGACAGGGTCACTCCTTTCCTTGCACTGTCCCAGTTTTTCCCTCCCATCCCTACCCCTCAAGTTGTATAGTTCATTTTCAACCCACCTTGATTTTTACCTGAGGCTGCCTCTCCAGGTTTCTACCAGATCACTGCTCTGACGGGGTTCCTGTTGGGCTCACTGGAGAAAGAGTGAGAGTGGGTATGTCTTAGGCTGCAGTCTGTCAGCTCTGTGTAGGACACAAAGCATGGGCAGGTAGTAGGTCTGGGCTCTGAGAGGTAGGAAGAGGTCCTTGAGTTCACATACACAATCGCCATGTCCACTGGCCCCCTCCCCTCCGTAGCTCTGAAGTTATATGGATGAGCCCTGAGGAGCCAGCGAGGCAGGGGTCCAACCAGGAACCCCTTTCCAGACATGACAACAGAAGCTAGCAGATTTTTCAGTGTCTCCCTTGAACGAAGGCCTCCCCTCCCAGGCAGCCCTGCCGGAGCTTCCTAAAGCTGATAACAGAAACTGGATGACTTGTTTTCAGTTTTGACTCCCTAAAGTATCCATCTGACCAAGGCTTTCCCTCCCAGACCCACTGTTCCTGACAGCCCTGCTTGGAGCAGGGGGCCGTGGTGGTAGGGGGTTCCCGGGGGGACCACTAGGGCAGTGTTCTGACAGCCTTCTGTTGTGTAGGTAGTCCCCACCTTCCTTGCTCACAATCCTCTCCTTTATTTTGTCTCTGTCCTGAGACTTTTCCTTTGCCGATCTGAGTCCACAAGCCTCAGATCTGTCTTCAGTCCTTGGCAATCTGCCCGCAGAACTGAGAGGGTGTCCGGCCAAACGGCCGTTCCTAGAACTTCTTAACGCTTGAGTCAGAGGCTGGCTGAATGAGCAGAGTTCTGTTCACTAGGGGCACTGCTTACGTGGGGGGGGGGGGTTCTATTCACGTGGGGCTCTGTTCCTGCTGGGGGCAGAGGCAGGCCTAGCCCTGCAAGTCTGTCACACTGCACCACTCCTCCCTCGGAAGACCTGAGCTGGCCTTCCTTAGATCCTGGGCTCTGATCTCCTGAGTCCTCCACTTAGGACCTCCCAGGGGCGGGGCTCTGTGTTGTACCCTTTGATTGGATGTGGGTAGGGGTTGATACATCCCACAGTTCTCAGGCCTGGCTGTGAAGCCTAGTAGAATGTTTTCATGCTCTTGGCCACCAACTCCGTGAAAGCTCTTGTTTCCCCTTCTGCAAACCCTGCAGAGAATGGCTCACAGTGGAGATGCAGACCTGAAAGCAGCACTAAGCAGACTCCTGGATTTGTTGGCTGCCTTATAAGAAAATACAAGCACACTGGAAATTAGGGTCTGCTCACCAGCCAAACTTAGATTTGGGAAACCTTCTATTTGAGGGCTACTTTCTAAAAGGGAAAAACCTTAGGCACAGAATTTTGTGAGACGTATTATCTTTTGACATTACCCACACTAGTCTGTTCTATTCTGGGCCTTTTATCATCTGCATCCCTAGCAAGCAGATGTATGCCTGCATATTATTTTTCTTGAAGCACAACCTTTTATATTAGATTAGAGATTTCTAGTGGTCACTAGCACACTTTCTAGAAATGTACCATCTCCCTTCAATTACAAATCCTGGAGCCTGAGGTGCAGTATCTGATTCTCCAGTAAAGCAGTAGAAATTCATTGTCCCAGAGCAAACTAGAAAAAAAAAAGCAAGGCCCAAACTAGACCTAGGGGAAGGGCTCTGCAATTTGGCAAAGGACAGGGAGGGGCTGGATACGTGTGCTGTCACTAAGGCAGTTTGCTCTCAAGGGGCCTTGGGACTAGGGGCAGGGGCCGGGGCCTCAGGCAAGTGAGCCCCACAGACAGTTTAAGTCTCAATTTTATTTTCCATCTTTAGGCCTGCCTTAAGTACTTTGGCCATAGGGTACGTATCACCTGAGGAATTTCTTGAAGTTGTGGGAATAAGAGACAGCAGGTTGGCCTCAACTTGGGAGGAGTAAAATAGTGGAGCATCTGGGCCTAGCTCTCTTACCAGCTGTGTGCATTTGAAAATGTTTTAGTTCTTTATCTGCCAAGTGAATCTCATATAGTACCATCTTGTAGGATTGTGGGAACATATTTAGTAGATGTAAAGCACCTGGTAAAGTGACTTGCCAATATTGGGTCTTTAATGAATGGAAGATGTATGATTATGTTCACACTAGAAGAGAACTACTTTCATCTCTGGGAACTTTTCTTGATTGTATCCTGAAGTTAGAAAATATGCATTGCTCTAGGACAAAGAAAATAAGTCAGCTAAAATGCTGATAAGCAACTAACACTCAGATTTCCTCAGTAGAGAATATTTAATACAGAGGCAGACACCTCACTGGGGTTTAGTTCAATGCTTGCAGGCTTTACCATAAGGACAAGCAATCTCCTTTTCCTTTGATGTCCCATTCAACAGACTTCTATTTTCATTTATTTCACTACCACAAAATCTAAGCCCACTATGGAATGTTGCCTAATGAAGGGAATAGGCTCTGGTTTCCCAAGCTTAAAGAATGCCTTCCCAGTGGTTTCTTGGCATCGCTCCTCAAGAATCTCTCTCTCACACACACACACACACACACACACACACATATATTTACAAACTCTAAAGAAAATGTGCATAAAACACAGGTTTCTGCACTGTGTTCAACTACACCAGAAGAGCAGAGCTTCTATCATTCTAACCCTAGGCAGAGATTCTCTCTGCTCTATAATCCCAAAGAATTAATTTCCTATTCTAGGGTTAACCTTGGAACTGCAGGGCTCACGGGCTGAGGGTTTGGCATCTGCTCTTGATTATTAGTCTCACCTAAAATGGGACTAGCTTAACATATCTCCGAACAAATGACTTGCAATGTTCTCAAGCCACAGTGTCTTGACTTAGAGAATTTCCACTTGACCTGCTCCCATCTACAATCTCCCCTCATACCATCCTGAGTCCCTTCACATCTGTTACTGAATATCATACCATCTTCCTAGTGGAACAACTTTTCTTTTTTTTACATTCTCAAACTCTACAGGCAGAAGATACGTCTCTTTTCTCTTAGCAGCATCTTCATCGCTAACACAGAGCAGATGCTCAATTAGTGATGAGAATAAATGTGATAGTGGGCAAGGAATATACTTTAATATTTTATCTTCATTCTCGAATCAGAAAAGCAAGGATATATCTTTGAATTTCACAAAAGAAAAACAAACATGAATTAAGGCAATCCAACAACTATGTTTAGATGTTTTGCTTTATTTTAAATACTCCAATTATATGCAGGGGGGTCTGTTACACATTTTCAAAAACATTTTCATGCCCAAACCATATTTTCTGGTTCTCTAAACAGATATTTTTGTAGATTTTTTTTACAATGTATTTCACAGTAACAGTTCTTATACTGAAGTCTGAAAACATGTGATCTATGCTGTTAATAACCATGGCTTTGAAATGGAAGATTGTTATCAACAGAGAGATGTCTGAATAATAATGTGTAACAGGAACACAAGGTATTAACATATTACACTATCGCCATCAGCTTCTTTACAACTAAGTGATGAATTTGCCTTCAACTTCATTGCTGGTGGGAGGAAGTGCCAGGTACATCTGGATCCTTGGCTGAAACTTTAGCTCTAGCTCGCTCTTCTTCCTCCCTAAGGGCTTCTTCATAATGGCCAGGGAAATCGCTAGGAACAGTATCATTGACCTTTGCTAAAAATTCAAGCACCTGCATTTTTGAGGTTTCAGCATGGGCACGGGGACCCCATAGGAACTGGTAACGTGGAGGATCACTACCTGGCACCTGCTGGTATTCTAGATAATTTTCCTTCACCATATCCCGAGTAATAAGCTTTCTGGGCTCCCCAAAGATAATGTGCTTCCTCCCATCATAAACGCCCAAAATACTCAGGAACTCCCACACTTCCTCCTCGGTAGCGCAGTTGCCATTTAAGAAGATAACACCCAGCAGAGGCATTAGAAGCCCATTCTTGGGAAATTCTAAGCCACTGGGCATCCCACCACTGCTGGTAAATTCTGCCTTGCTGACTAAGGTATAGCATGGACTATTGGGTTTGATTTCCTTTAACTCAAGTCCAAATACAAGGTCCATACGCTCAGATGCTTTCTGGAGTATTTCAGGAAAATGGTCTTTGAATCTTCTATTGATAATTTTAATCATTTCTCCCCTCACAATAGGCTGTTTGGTTTTGTACTTGTACAGCAGATACTGCATCAGCATCCCGGCCTTTCTCAGAATGAGATCTTTCCACGGATGCTCAGTAAAAGGTGGGGCCCTGGCAGGATGAGCAGCTTCTGCCCCTCGGGGATTGGCACTTTTACTAGACTTTTTGAGAGAGTCAGAAGCAGTATCTTTTGAGGTGGTGGCCAGTGGAGCCTTGGACGTGGCGGGAGGTGGCATTCTGGAGGTGGAGGCGACTGGTGCCTTGGTGGTGGTGGCAACTGGTGTCTTGGTGGTGGAAACGACTGGTGCTTTGGTGGTGATGATGGTGGCAACTGG